GTTGACCAAGAAAAGCTGTCAGTAATTCAGGATTCAGTTCAAATTTACAGCTGGTGAAAATGTAATAAAACTGAGATGAAAATACAAAAGGCATTCTACTACAGGGAAAGATGGACTACAAAATTACTCTTTTGCCAAGAGGGCTGATTGTGTTCTTACTTATAACTCTGGAAATATGGAAGCCCATCACCTATCAGCAGTGAAAAATGATAGATCGTCCATTTTCCCATTTCCAGAAATGGAAAGCTGTTAATTTCAGGATTCCTGACAACTTCCTAATGGCTGGAATTCTTTCATACAGGGAATAGTTCAATAGGAAATTTAATTTTTTCCTGATGTATAACTTAGTCCTTTTGACTTTTTTCCCATCAAGAGGTTTTTTTTTATGGCTTAAGAACTTCCATCCTGGCAAAGCAAGGTGACCATCTCTTAACAGCCAAAATTTGTCTGCAATTCTCTAAGCTGGATGGACTCCTAGAGCAGCTTATGATCTTTCCATGCTGTTTATATTGTCAGACTATATTGCCATATTGATAACCAGACTTTTCCATAGCACTTCACACTTCAGGTTGTAAATTTAATACAGAAGTAGAAGTAGTGGATAACTGCCTTTCCTTTTGCATGGGGAATGACAAATATAATGTAGGAGTGAGGGAGCTGTTTGTAAATCTCTTTGCCCCCGCCCCCCTTTCCTTTCTTGGCTTGCATGACACACATAGTATTAGAAATGCCATAGATCACAGCAAGCAGATATTGGAGACCTTCTGGCAAAATTTTATCAGCACTTGTCTTATGCATCCTGACATCTGGAGCAGTTGGTGAAAACATGCTTTTGGAAATTGTTTTGCAGAACCTTTCTTTTTTACTACGGCACCAGACTCAGGTCCTGTTAAAAGAACAGAGGACCTTATTTCCCTCTCAAGTACTCCTCTTGCACACCAGTTTAAATCTACTGACTGCAGAGGAACAGCTCCTCATTTCACTGGTGTAAAACAAAATTACCTGTAGAAGGTATTGCTCCAGGTTCTATGAATCTATAGCAGTTGTTAAAGTCATCTTCAGCTGTCTTTTAAACAAAATTACTGTTTTGCCCTTAAATCAATGGTAATCAGTTTCCACTTTTTATAGCACAGAAATTAATTGGTGGAGTTATTTTACAAAAAATAAATATTCTAAGTCTTACTTGAATTTGAGGACACTGGGTTGTGGACCATATGTTTACAGATTATACAGCATCCCACAGCTGTGAATCATCCGAGTTTACAAAGCATGTGAAAGCAGTAACAAATCTGAAGGAAAAACAAGGCCATAGGCAAAGGGAGCAAACTGTTGGGTTGGATCTCCATCCCACCCACCTTACAGATTTCCACCAGCTCCAGGCCAGGCTTGTGGAAATGCTTGTGGCCCACGGGGTTTGAAAAAATGGGTGAGATTCTGGTAGGAATCAGAGATTGCAGGGCAGAGAATTTCTTCTTTCTGAAGAAGGTTGCAGTGAGAGAGGAAAGAATGGGATGTGTGAGCAGAGGGAAGGGACTCAGGCTACCACCATGATAGAGAACTCCATGAAATCGTAGGATCACAGAACCTCTTAAATTGGAAGGAACCTATGAGGATCATTGAACCCAACTCTCTGCTCCTCACAGGACTGACTAAAACTAAACTAAGAGCGTCATCCAGGTGATCCTTGGAGCCTTGCAAGCTTGAGGCTGTGACCTCTTCCCTGGGGAGGCTGTTCCAGTGACCTTCCACTGTCTAGGTAATAGAACCTTTTCCTAATGTCCAATCTGAACTTCCCATGCAGCTTAATTCCATTTCCTTGTGTCTTGTCACTGGTCAGGACCTTCTCCTTCACTGCCCTCCTTGAGAAAGTTATAGACTGCCATGAGGGCACCCCTCTGCCTTCTCTTCTCCAAGCTGAACAAGCCAAGTGACCTCAGCTACTCCTAAGTCTTGCCCTCAAGGCCCTTCTCCATCTTGGTTGCTCTCCTCTGGACACACTCTAATAGTCTGATGTCCATCTTGTACTGAGGCGCCCACAACTGCACACAACTGGAGATGGGGCTGCACCAGTGCAGTGCAGAATGGGATGATCACCTCCCTCAACTGGCTGGTGATACCGTGCTTGATGCACCCCAGGACATGGTTGGCCCTTCTGGCTGCCAGGGCACACTGTTTACTCATGTTCAAGTTGCCATCAACCCAGACCCCCAGATTTCTTTCCGTAGGGCTGCTCTGCAGTCTCTCATCCTGCAGTTTGTAACCAGGATTACCCTCTCCCAGGTGCAGAATCCTGCACTTGCACTTATGAAATTTCATATGCTTGATGATTGCCCAGGTCTCTAGTCTATCTAGATCCCTCTGTAAGGCCTTTCTACCCTGGAGGTAGTCTACACTCCTCCTAATTGAGTATTATTGGCAGACTTGCTTAATGTACATTCGACTGCTACATCTAGATCATTTATAAAAACATTGAAGAGCCCTGGTCCTAAAATTGAGCCCTGGGGAACCCCACTGGTGACTGACCACCAGCCTGATGTGACCCCATTTACTGTAACTCTTTGAGTCTGACCCATCAGCCAATTGTTCACCCATCATATCATGGTCTTGTTTAGCTGTGTGCTGGACATTTTGTCCAAAAGGATATTGTGAGAGAAAGTATCAAAAATTTTGCTAAGATCCAAAAAATTCATACCTGCTGGTTCCTTTTGTCAAGTAGATGGGTGACCTCATGATAAAAGGAAGTTAGATATAGAAGACTTTCCCCTTGTGAACCCATGTTGACTATGACCAATGACTGTGTTGTCTCCCAAGTGTTTTTGAATTACTCCCAGAATAACCTTCTCCATAATTTTATCTGTCACTGAAGTGAAACTGACAAGCCTGTAATTACGAGGGTCTTCCTTCTTACCCTTCTTGAAAATAAGGATGTTTGCTTCTGCTTTGGTGCTAGGCTTTTCTCCAGCATTCAGAAGGCCAGGTCATAATTTTTTAGTGTTTTTAATGGCAGTTGAAGGGTCGTGTATGCAGAAATAGGTTTCTGCACTGATTCTGAGGATAGTTCTGGCATACAGATATGTGTGCCTGCAGCCCAGAAACAACCATGGAGGTGACTCTCTCCCCCTACTCTGCTCTGGCGAGACCCCACCTGGAGTGCTGTGTTCAGATGTGGGGCCCCCAACATAAAAAAGACATGGACCTGTTGGTGAGAGTCCTGAGGAGAGCTACGAAGATGGTCAGAGGGCTGAAGCACCTCCCCTATGAGGACAGGCTGAGAGATTTGGGGTTGTTCAGCCTGGAGAAGAGAAGGCTCCGAGGAGACTTAATAGCAGCCTTCCAGTACCTGAAGGGGGCTACAGGAGAGATGGGGAGGCACTCTTTATCAGGGAGCGTAGTGATAGGACAAGGGGTAATGGGTACAAGCTGAAAGAGGGTAGATTTAGACTAGATGTTAGGAAGAAATTTTTCACTATGAGGGTGATGAGGCACTGGAACAGGTTGCCCAGGGAAGCTGTGGATGCCCCATCCCTGGAGGTGCTCAAGACCAGGCTGGATGAGGCTTTGAGCAACTTGGTCTAGTGGAAAGTGTCCCTGCCCATGGCAGGGGGGTTGGAACTTGATGATCTTCAAGGTCCTCTCCAACTGTAGCCATTCTATGTCTCCATGATTCTATAAATGTCCCTGAGGATGCTTGACACCATGTCTGCAGCAGAGGGTCTGCCTGGTGCAGGCTGGAGCTCCACAAAGCCTCTGCTCCAGGCCACACCCCTCCAGACCCTGTGCGTGCAGCTGAGCTGTGATGCAATACTAACTGGTGGTATTAATGAAGTGTCATTAATTAGTTCCTGATCAGCCATTCCGTATTTGCAAAATGCTACTGCTGGCCCGTGTCTGCACCGAATGCAGACTACCATGATGAACTAGATAGTATAGCTATTTCCCCCACTCCGGTCTGAGTGCAGTTTTACAGTGAAAAGCTAACATAAGGACAGCCTGTGTTGGAAGGTTTTTGTCATGAAATACATTCCAGCAAGGTCACCAGAGATTATCTGTATAAATTTAGGTAATCAGACATCTATTGATCCTAGATTGCTCAACATTTAATGGGGACTTTGTTAAGTATAGAACCCCTTACAAATGAGTAATTCAGCTCTGGACCAGACATAGCATTGGAAAACATGCATCCAGCAGGGAACACACTGACTTGGGCAGGAATGATCTATGAAGTTATGTCCCCAGAGGGCCATAAAACGTTTTGTCTCTGGGAAGAAATCTGCGGGTGGGATCCCAAGTCTCTTTTTGACAAGATGAACCTTGCCCACCCTGCTCTGGCCTGATTCTAATGTGGAAAGAAGGAGGTAATCAGTAATGGACAATCCATGGTGATATTTTAGGTTCAGTCAGGAGCGAGTTTCCTCAGAAAATCAGTTTGTTCTCACTGTCCTTGTTTTGGTGCACATTATGGAGAGGTCTTGCAGTACGCACACTGAATTGCTTTTGGAAGGACAGATGGGCAGAGCAGTGCGGCCCAAGTGGGAGTGTATGGAGACTCCTGAACTGTTACCCTCCTGCTCACTTGTCCACAAAAGTGAGCTCAATATGTGGGCAAAGTAGATAATAAACTTATGAGAGATGGAACAAAAGGGACATTAAATATAGTTTCCAGTCCAGTACTATATGGTGCACTTGGCTGTATCTCAGATTAATTTGTCTTTTTAGTTCATCTGGGTGAACTTGCTTTTCTTAGGCTGTTTTTGTTGGTATCGTGGACTTTTTTGACTACAGGCTGTAGTAGTAGACAGAAACCACCCTTGCTTTGTGAAGGTTATGCTTTTGCACTTTAAGTAATCAAGGCTGTAGCAGTCATTGCAATGCTCACTTATCCACTATTTTGTAGTTGCAATTTGCAGCCAATGTATACAATGAGGTGTTATTAATCAGCTACCTGTCAGTCACTACCTTCTCTGCTGTTTTTTTTTCCTTGCAGAGGTCACCGTTGTCCACACCAGCCCACCAGGCCCTATGAGAAGAATGAGAAGCCATGCATGCTGTCAGAGTACATGGACAGATACCCACTTTATCCCACAACTCTTCCTAGAGGCCCATTTAAGAAAAAGGAAGCAGACAAGATGGCGCAGATACCCATGGAAGGCATCTCAACTACAAAGTATGAAAAATAGTGAAAGAGAGTGAGGACTGTGGCTTGGATAATGTGTGTGTGAGAGACAGGTAATGGAGAGAAGAAAAATTATTGGTTTTCACAAGGGGAGCTTGAACAACGTTGCAGTTGTACAAACACTCAAGAAGGCTCTGTGAAGGAAGGATGAAGGTCTGAGGCCAGTTGTTGTAGTGGAAGCAAGCCGCTATTTTTCTTGCACTTTCTGGAGGTTGAAATGTGGTCTGATCAGAGAATACATGGGCCATAGAAGAGTCATGGTCTTGGCTATTGTTCACTTTCTGTTTTGGGAAGGCTTCTGGGAAATGCCTTCAGCAGAAATGTTACCTGGAAAAGTATGGATGATATTGGAGGAGTATTTTTCTTTTGTTCTGTGTTTTGTGTGGCACTTTGTACACTGATTACTAGTTTCCAAGGAGGTGTGAATGTGGTAGAGCTTGATGACTGGAAAGGGTTGTAGGTGTTTTCCTCAAGGTAGTCACTGTGGACTGATGGGCTGTTTCTGCTTCTCAGCTATGGTGTTGCGTAGTGTTGGTGTTCTGCAGAAGTCCTCACACTTGCACTGTGCCCATCTACCTGATGGAAGCAGCTTCTGAGGCTCTTCCTTGCTTCTGGTAGAGAAGACACTCACAAAAAAATTCTAATTTAATCCTTCAATATGAATCTGAGAGCTTCTCTTTCCTCAAACAGTGGCTGCTGCCTGATCCTGATGTTTACTTCCTTTATCATCACAGGCATAGTCATAAGCAACAACACTTGCCTTTGCTGAACAGAATTAGAGACCTAGGAGATGCCAATGGCTATTAGTAAAGTCTTAACAGCTAACAGAGCCCATTTGTCCTCATCCTGACATGGAAGCTCTACCAACTCCTTCCCCTACCTATGCCTTTTAAAGAGTCATCAATTTAAATCACAAATGTGGCTGATGAAGCCTGAAATGCCCAACTTGCTCATATTTGTGATGCCTCTGTACACGTGTGAGTTTTCAGTAATAACCAAAAGGACCAGAGGGTTTCAAAGAGCAGACTTCACTTCCATCTCCAGCACGAGATTAAGCAGCTAGACATCTTTGCATCTGCCTATAACTAAATCCTGGGCTCACTGCTGTCCTTATAAGGCAGACAAGGAGAGTCAGCCACCATGCAAGGTCTGTCCAGGAGTCCTTAGAAACTTCTCGTTCAATCAGCAAAACTGTCCTTGCTCAGACAAGGGTAGTGATTGCCACAGTAACTGCTACCCCTGGAGTTTAGTACAACTTTTGAAAAGCGGACTAGTAAGAAAGCACAGAAACTACTTATATTTGCTTCTTCAGAGCATGCACTCAATCAGATATGTAAAACTTCCCTATCCTTGTTAAGAGGAGAAAACACAGAGCCTGAACAGTTACCTATCAAATTGCAAGTCTTGCTGTCCTTTGGGCAACACTGGTAAGAAAATACACCCAGCGTGAAAGTGCCAGGGCCTAGTGGAAAAGTGCCACAACCTGTAAGAGGGCTGCTAAAAGCTCTGGTTCTATGTGGCTAAACTCAAGAGACAATGAATTAATGGAGTGTGTGAGAATAACTGCAGGGACTGTGAGGCCAGCAAACATGGGGTTGTCAGCAGTCTTCTCTAATAACACTTCACTGAGTGTTAGGTGTCATACTGCAACAGCAGTATGACAAAGTCATAAATAAAATAAAGTCCGGGAGTTGCAGGCAGTACCATTTTTCATGGGGCCTTGGATGCAGGTTGCCACTGATTTATCAGCAGATCAGGCTCTCCTCTGTAATCTTTGCTGCAGGTTCTGTTATATCACAACAATCAGTGGGAAGGAGGTACTCACACTGTCAGAAAACCATTGATCACACTGGTGAATTGCCCGCCTGTGATGCTACTTGCCTCTGGTACAGGCTCGGCTGTTTCAAACATGGGATTAGGCAGTGTACTGAGTATTCTGGAAAAGACCCTTTCTGTTACTGAGCTTTCCCTGTTAGTGAGGATGGTGCGTGCCTGTTGTATTCTTGCTTGTCTTTTCTTGACCTTTCTTAAAAAAAGTCATTGGCTTTAAATTGCTAACAAAAGTATGCCAAGGGGCTACAACATGCATGACATCTAGGTAAGTACCTCTTGATTTTTTTTTTTTTTTTTTACTTCTGAATTTCTGGTTTTACCCCTATACCTGATACTTTATCTCCCCATCCTGGGCTGGACTGCTGGACGGGGTGTTGTCTGGGAAGGCTATTGTTGCCTCTCTCATGTTTCTCATACATACCGGATAGCTATAATTATTGGGCTTTTAAAAGGAGTTATGTCTGGTGGTATAGCTCCACCGTAGAACAGAGATAGCTTTGTGTAAGGCCATTAAGCTCGCTGGATGGAGGGAAGGGGGAACCTGGCCTGCCTGAGGTTGTTCAGAGCTGCCTCAGTTCTTTTTTTAGAGTCCAGATTTACAAGTGTAAAAGGCTTGTGTTCTTCATTAACTGCTTGTATCTTGTCCAGACTTTCTTAGACTGTGGAAAGAAGGGGAAGTGTTAATTTCTTTGTGTGTCCAGAAAACAGAACATAATTTTTTCCTTAAAAGACATAAAGAAAATTATTCTTCACAGGAGAGATTACATCGCTCATGAAGTGTTGCCACTGCAACTTAAACCACCTGAAAAGCATGTCGAGAGTGACAAGCCTATGGATTTGACCACCACTTATAAACAAGATTATAACTTCTACCCTACATGTCAAGTACCTCCATGCATCCCCTCTGTGATGAGATGCATACCCAGTGTCAAGATGGATACAAGAACCACTTATGAAGGTATGTGCCCTTGCCTTGCAGCTTCTTTCAGTACTTCACCAGTATCTTCATTTTTTTAATAAGACAGATCACAACAGTGTGCTGTTGTTATTCCTTCTGTCTATGTATGCCAACAAGCTGTGCAGGAACCACATAGAAACAAATCGTTGGGAATACAGCCCTGCCTTCATGGTAGCATTGGGATCTGTCTGAATTCACCTCCTTGGCATGTCTACGGGCATCCTAGGTAGAAGCAGGGCCATGTGGACTCCTGCAAGTTGGTCCAGCTGCATCATCTTTAGGGTATACTGAACATAATCTTGGTGTATGGCAGGGCTGGTCCACGCATTCAGTGGATCGGATACATCTAAAATATGTAGAATTTGCTGGGTCATGAAGCACGGGACCCTTTTTGTGTGTGCTGCAGAGTCAATTTGTGGATGTGCCAGAGACATATATGGGAATTACAGACACACAGAAGTTCCACACAAGCGTCCAAAGCACTTAAGTTCTGGTCCTGGTTGAACAGGTGAACTGTGCATCTAACTATGCCTTCATTTCTCAGTAGCAATAACTTGGTGCAGGTGGTTTGTTTTTGTTGGGGCTTTGTTCACTCCTCTCCACCAGCGGGAATTCACTTCTGCATGTTCTGGGAGAAAACTTCCAGTCACAGAGTTACAGTAATTGTGCTAGTTTTTGTAGTAAGTCATAAGTAGAAAAGCAGAGGATTTTGCCTTGGCACACCTTCCAGCTAGCTAACATTGACAGGCAGATAGCTAGCATTTGTGTATTTCTTAAAATTGCTTTAATGATTTTATTTTATTTTTGTTATGTTGTGCAAATATGAAAGCTTATGATTGGTGCTGGCATTGAGATTTGTCCCAATGTACAGAAACAATTTTTTTCTTAAAATTCAAAATCAAAAAGGAAGTAAGGAAATAAAAGGTAGGTGAATGCAGTGTTAAGATTACCAGGCTGAAATGACTGAAAATCAGACTTCAGTGCAGCTGGATGTTTGCAATGGCATAAACTGGAATTTTTACATTAAGCACATAGGAAATACTGTCCATTTAGAATGACTTGAGTCATGAAGTCTATGACCCACAGGTGCAAAATACCCACATTTACACAATTTTGAACACTTTGTTCTGCATAGGCAATGTCACCAGATGGTATTCATTGGAATAGCTTCAGTGAAGCCAATAAAAAAGGGCTGCTTTGCAGAAGCAGAGGATCTTTCCTTCTGTGTTTAGATATCCTTAACTTCTCCGTATCCGAAGCAGATTTATATCTTCGTCTTTTATCAGTGTTTAGGTCAGCACCTTAACTGTTACTCCAGAGCTCTAATAAAATATATTGCAGCCACATTTGGTTATAATTTGCAGTATTTTTCAAAACACTGCAAATCAAAATCTTCATACAAACCCTCTTGAAGATCAAGTTGCATACTGAATGAATTTCCTTTTAAAGGCCCAGGTTCACAAAAATTACAAGTTTTCATTGTGCTGTTCTCTAAGCATTGACAGATCATTGATCACTACTCAAGTGTGAAAGTTTGAAACATGCTATTCAATTAATTGTCCTAATTCAAATATTTAAGCAGCTTATGAAACAGTGCTGCATTAGTATTAAATTACCTTTCCTGCTGTGTTGTCATACTCCTTCACACTAAACACACCATACCCCAAATGACACTGTAGGTTTAAGATGATGCTGGTGCACATGACAACTTTGCAACTTAAGGTTTCAAAATTCTCATCTCCTCCAAGCTACACACATAGCTGTTTCTATCCATCTGCAGGTACTAATCTAGTTTTAGTTTTGTCTTGCCTGGTTACATTGAGATGAGCCTAACCCTCCAATAACATATGGTTCATATCCTCTGTTCCCTCCTGTACCCCCTAATGTTTTCAAGATTGCGCTACATGGGAAACTGTTAATATCTATGGGAGAAGAATTAACGTTACAATAAAATTGTAACATATTTTGAAGGAATAGTAGCACTGCTGGCTTTTGCTAAGTGAAATAAATTCATGATGTCTATGAGGTCTCCGAATGTGTAAAGCTCGAGCTTGTAAATTTTAAAAATTGAAGACAGGTGGGCTTGCTTGTCATATTTAGAATATTTTGAAAAAGCTGTGGTAATATCCAAAATGCACAGACTCCAGCAAAGATGATGGGAGAACCTAAGAAGTTTTTTGGTAACTCTTGGCTGGCACCTGAAATGTCAGATCTCTGAAAAAGCCCTTGCTTAGAGATGGGCTGAATCTCATCAGCTTCTCACTTTTTAACACTTTATTAATACATTCCCTGTAATGACACATGTCCGCATATGCTCGTGGTTCCTGGGCCATGTCTCCAGGAAAATTATGTACCCTCAGCACGGGCACAAGGTCAGCACCCCACATCTCCTATTCCCCCAGAGAAACAGGAGCACCCGGGGCATTTAAACACGCCCAGCACTGTCAGGGCACAGAGCCTGGGCTTCAGTGCCACCAATGGCAGCAAACGAATGTCTGTGCTGGTGCGCACGGTCAGGCTCATATTCTTGTCTGATTACGCTAATGAGTGACATGAGGGCAGCTCTGTACCCAGGGGCCAGGGTGCTGGCGGGGAGCAGTACGGCACATCTGGCTGCTGCTGCCCCTCTAGGTCCAGGGCAGAGCAGCTGGATTTGAACAAGAAGGACTTTAAATGGACACCTAGTTGGGGCAGAAAGTTACTATTTTCTGGTCAACTTCACGTTGTAATGAACAAGTCCTTTGTGTAATTGTGTTCGTGCAGTACAATAGCCACTGCCATTCAAAAAGAGTAACTCTGGATTGGAGATCTCAAATGTCCTGATGCCTAATTGCATCATTTACACATTTACTTCCTTCCTGTGCAGAGTCAGCTGGAAGCTTATTTGCCTCATGACTCTCAATGTGGTTTGAAAGGAGGGAAAATTTAAAAAAAAATTGGGTTAGCTCCAAGACTATTTAATCTCAACTTCCCACCAGTAACCATAAAGCTCTCTAGAGGACTTCGCACGAGATTACTAGGAAGGGAAAAAATGATGGTCTTATGGCTGCAGCATTGGTCAGAGAGTTAGGCAGCTTTGCAATAGATTTTTAGTGTGACTGAGTGCAAATCTTTTTAAGTCTCAGTGCCTTGTTTTTTTTCTTGGTATCCTGCCGAGGAAGTAAGGTATGAATGTTTATAAAAATGCCACCTAAAATGTTTTCTTATTTGGATAGACAGATTTACGGAGTATGGACTATCTCAGTGATAGATTCAATGCTTCAGATCAGCATAGACTAGGTCTGCAAATTCCAGCACAGTTTTTCTAATAAGGAAGAATTGGAGACAGAGTTACAAGCTCCTTCTCGGTTCCTGCTTGTACTAACAGCAGGAGTAACACAGAGAGCAAAGCCAAAAGCCAAGGAGATGCCACACAGCACATCTTGCTGACACAAATATGAGCTGCAAACCCCTGAACTCAGCAAACAGTGGGCAGCATCACATCTTTGGCGTTGAGAAATCTGGTCATCCATAAATGAGAAGGTACAAAGAGGAAGGGTAGCTCTGCAACTTGTCCTTTAGACCGGAATGGTGGACATCTGGTCCTGCTTGCCGCAGAGATACTGTTGGAGACACCTATAAAGCCTTCTGCGGACACAGGCGTGCTCTGTCTGTGCTCTGAGCCAGCCAAAACATAGCTGCAGGAAGATAAGAGGTTGAACTCAGTGCCATCATACTCCACTTTCATGATTTCTGTTTGACTGAGCATGAGGACAGCACGCAGCCAGTCACTGCAGAAATTCTCTCTGCAAGACTGAGAATGTAATAATATTCCCATATTGTATTTCACCATCTCTGGAGGTATGGGTGAATACAGGATTATTTTTATTCCATTTTCTGTATAGATGCTAAGCATTTCCAGTGTTTAGCGCATTACTGTATAATATGTTCTACAGCAGCTCTTTTAATAGGATTTGTCAATCATTGCAACATCAACACGTTTATTACAGTAGAAAATGTAATAGTCAAAACATAATACAGTATATATGCCTAAACTCACTGAAGAACTTAGAAGTGCTTAGATAGGATTCCTCTTATGTTTCAGATGACTATGTGCTATGGAATGAACCAAAGACAGAACAGATCAGACCAGACAGGTTTCGCCCATCAGAAGAAAAATTTGACCACAGAACCACTGTCCAGGATGATTATCTCTACAGGGGGCCAGTTTCCACTCAAAGCTGCAAGCCTCTGAATCGAGTCCAGAAAAATAAGGCTCCCTCTGAAAATATAACCAATTATAGAGTGAATTATATTCCACATCCTCTGGAGAAGCCGTATGTCCATAAATATAAGAAATACAAGGCCAGTGAAGTCCCATTTGATGGCCTCACTACCCACAAAGTTTCTTACATGGGGCTGCCTGGTCAGCCAGCCAAGCTGGCAAAACCATACCAGCCGAAGCCTCTCCATGATGTTCCATTTTCCTCTACAACTGAGTTTCAGGAAAAATACCAAACTTGGCCACAGCCTCCTGTATTCACCAAAAAACCTGATGTATATCTTCCTCCTCTGGAGAAAATGGACCTTCAGACCACTACTCAGACACATTACAAGCACCCAAATAGCAAACCAGCCAAGATGTGTCAGCCTTTGGCCCTGCTTAAAAAAAGTACTGAACCATTCAATAACTCTTCTGTAATGAAGGAAGACTATAAGCCTTGGCTGTGTGAGAGACTAAAGCCTATCACTCATGCTCCAGAGCTGACCTTCCCAGCAAAACCAATGGATTGCTTGACTACCTTTCAGAGCCATTATGTGGCTCATCTGCCCACAGTTACGAAAAGCTGCAAACCTGGCTGGTCACGCCCAAAGCATCACACTCTGCTAGATGCTAAAACCACCTATGCTACCAGCTACACACCAAAGGGCTTTGTTAGATGCTTGGCCTCTTACAAAGACCCACCCGGTTACGTCTCTGAGGGAACTGATGCTGATGGTCACAGTTTCTATCTCCCTGTGCCTGCAAGGTGTCAAGTGAAGGAAAAAGAGAGTGGATGCAGCCTTCTTGGAAATGGATTCAAAGTGCAAGGCGCCAGCGAGTTACAAATGAGAGCTTGATTTTGTTTGTAACCTTCTTTCAAAGCTGTCACTGATTTAATATTTATTTAATAAATAAACAAACTCAGTTCCCAGACATGGGCTTTTCTGGATTATTTGCACAAATGAAAAACATAAAATCCAGGGAAAAGACACACTGATCACATTGATCCTTGTTTCTGTGTATTTTTTTTCCCCACCTAACTCTTGCTCTTTAATTGAGAGAGATAACCTCCTGAGATGCTAAAAGTGAGATCTTGTAGTAACTTATGTTATTATTAGTGTAGTGGGGGTTCAGCCATGTCCATGATGACAGTGATAGAACAGCCTTTTCAGAAGAATTACATGCTGTGAAGAAGTCATGGCTGGATAACAAAGTCTGAGATCTGGCCTCATCAGTCACTCCCATCAAAGACGTGTATAAAAGGCACACTTATGCGATAAGTATTATTGAAGACTGCACCTTCACTTACTGTGTCACTGTGCTGCCCAGAGCTAGGCTGTTAGGTGTGAGGTTGTCATGCCAAAGATGGCACCCTAGGCCGACAGTTTGCAAGGGAAGCTTTTCAGTAAAAGCTCTTTGCTGCAGGATGCAGCGAGAGTACTGGAAATGGCGAAGGGTGAAAGTTGTCATGTGTTGTTGATGGAGTTCCGACAGCAGCTGGAGTTGTACTATCTTTTGGATAAGGCCAATATTAAGCTCCTGGCCAGAACTGTTAATTTCTGTGTCCAAGGTGCTTTTCTGTAGGCTTACAAATGTTACATTACTACTGTGAAACTTACTGGCCTCTTAAGAGCATTCTACTTTCCTAAACCCTCCTCTGCCTTACTCCTGGCAGCTCTGGTTGTTTTCTGATATGGTGGGTTACCCTTGGCTGCGCACTAGGTACCCACTGAGCTGCTCTATCACTCCCCTCCACAGCAGAACAAGGGGGAAGAAAATAAGATGAAAAACTTGTGGGTCAAGATAAAAGCAGTTTAATAAAGCAAAAAGCCAAGGCCGCATGTGGAAGTAAAGAAAACAAAGATTTTATTCTCTACTTCCCATCAGCAAGCAATGTCCAGCCACTTCCTAGGAAGTGGCTGCTGGAGACAGACGTTATAACAATGAATGTCCCCCTCCTCCTCCTCCTTTCCCTTAGCTTTTGTTGCTGAGCTGATGTCATATGGTATGGAATATCCCCTTGGTCAATTTGGGTCAGCTGTCCTGGCTCTGTCCCCTCCCAAGATCCTGCCCACCCCTGGGGCCCTGAGCCTACTCAAGGTGCTGGGGTGGTGGGGAGACAGCCTTGATGCTGTGTGAGCACTGCTCAGCAGTAGCCAAAACACTGGTGTTGCCAACACCTTTCTAGCTACAAATAGAACACTCAGCACTATGAGGGCTGCTGTGGGGACAACTAACACTGTCTCAGCCAAACCCAATACATCTGCGTATTTAGCTCAAATGATAGGTAGAGCTGTTGCATGCTGGAGGAGAGGCTTGTGTCTCACCATCAAAGTGGCTGCATTTAAAGGGGAAGTGTGAGAAAATGTTCTCTATAAATGTATAGTTAAAACCTTTGAAACCTGTTGGGATAGAAGCTTTCCATAAGTACTTGCAAGCTAAAGACAAACACATTCCATCCAGAAACAGGTGAGCCTGGAAAATCTGGTGAATGCTTAACCCTGAGGCTGGGAAGCCACTGGAACAATGACCATAGAGGCACACAGAATCACAGAATCACAGAAT